CGGAGGCCGCGCTGGGGTCGGCTGCGGAGCTGCCACTGCTGAAGCTGCCGCCGGCCGCCGACCTGGAGCAGCTGCTGATCCAGGGGGGCGCGGGGCTGGGCGCGGGCAGCCCAGGGCCGACGGCGCCCGGGGCGAGTAGCGGCGGGGCGGCGGCGGCAGGGCCATTCCTCTACCGGCAGCCGGTGACGCAGGAGCAGGAGGGTTTCGCCGACGGCTTCGTCAAGGCCCTGGCCGACCTGCACAAGCAGAACCAGCTCCTGGCGGCACCGCCGCCGCTCTCCGCGCCGGGACCCTGCTGCACCGCCCGCCCCGGGCCGCCGGGAGCCGCTGCCGCCGCCGACCCTCCGGCCGTCTACACCAACTTGAGCGGCTTCAACCCCGCGGGGCCGCTGAGCCCCTCGGGCAGCGCCTACCCCTCCGCCTCCGCCCCGCCGCCGCCGCCGGGCCTGGCCTTCGGGGCGGCGGGTCTGGGGAGCGGCCGGCTGCCTGCGCGGTCCCTGGAGGAGCCGCAGACCGTACCCGAGGTGCCGCCGTCGGCGGGCGGGGAGGGCGGCACCAGCGCCCCGACGCCGCCGTCGCTGTCGCCGCTGGACGCGGAGAGCCAGGAGCGGCTGAAGGCAGAGCGCAAGCGGCTGCGAAACCGCATCGCCGCCTCTAAGTGCCGCCGGCGGAAGCTGGAGCGCATCGCACGGCTGGAGGAGAAGGTGAAGGCGCTCAAGGGGCAGAACGCCGAGCTGGCGGCCACCGCCAACCTCCTCCGCGCCCAGGTCACCCAGCTGCAGGGTCGCGTCCGCAGCCACCTCTCCTCCGGCTGCCACATCAACGCCGCCGGGCATCCTCCTCCTCCTCACGCCGCCGCCCAGCCGCGGGAGACTCCCCCCGAGGCGGCTGCCGCCCCGCCGGAGACCAGCGCCTGCTGAGGAGGGACACCACGCTGGCTCCGGCCCCATCCCGCCCGGGGGCACCGCGGGGCCAAGGTGCGCGCCCGCCGCCGCCCTTCTGCTATTATTATTTTYTTAATTATTATTATTAATTATTTTTATTTATTTGCGCCCGGAGAAGGCATTTTTGCGGRAGCCGGGTGTTGCTAAGCGTTTCACGAGTTCTGTCGATGTCACATTCAGCAGCGAGGGTCTCCGTGGGTGATTCTGGGGCAGGTGGTTGTTAATTTTTCAGTGAAGTACTTGAGGTCTGTAGAGATTTCGGAAAATAAGAAAATTACTGTTTACAGAAAGATTCAACTTTATTTTCATGGGGGATATAAAAAGTGTGTTTCCTAATACACCTTACTGAACTGTATAGCAATGGATAAGCTTTTCAAACTGAAAAAAAAAAAATAGCCAGAATCGTACCTTTTGAAAAGATGTGCGTGTATATATATATTTAAAACATAATATGGCTATGTATATTTTCTTGGTATTGATAAAGAACTTTTTTTAAAATACTGTCTTTCTCTAGAGCTTTAATTTGCCATTGAGAGTTAAGACAGCTGTGTGGGTGTCCTTGCACTTACATAGCTTTGATTTTAAAATCGAACCCTGGAGGGAAATGATTTTTGTTGTAAATCTTAAGCAGATTGAAATGCATTGCTGACTCAGTCATAGGAAAATAGTTTTCTAAAACTGTATGCTCCATATTTCTTGTGCCAGTGCAAACTTGGGGCATTGATAGTTATTTATTGAAACTTGAACACTTTTTGGATGTTGCCTAGACCTTATTTTTCTAGATAACACGTTAGTAGAGAAAATGGTTACTTTGGCAAAAAGAGCTTTACTTTTTTTTTTTTTCCTTCACTGTGTACATTCCAATAGTGTGTGCTCTTTCCACAGTATAGTAACAATTCAGTGCTATACAGAAAAGGGCTCAGGTGGTTTGGGGTGGGCTAGCTGTAAAGGTGATAATTCCATTGTATTCTGTTTGAATAAATTGCAGAAATATTAYGGAGAACTAGATTTATTTTTTGGTAGAAATCTGTGTATCTTGCTTCTTGGTCTACTTTGTTCTAAAGGAACTTTCTGCAATACTCTAGAGACAGAAAGAGTCAGTGCTAGAATGTGAAATATTTTTCTGGTTGGGAAGAATTGGTGTGATTTATTTCTTTGTCGAGAATTTACTAGTGGAAGAGTATAGCAAAGGAACTATTTCTTCTGATTAGACATAATCCTCAATAAGTTTTTGAAAGCTTTAGGTCCCTTGCTCGGTGCCACTGCCTTGCTTCTGCTGCACCTGTGTATTTTGAGCATAGCCGCTAGCGCAGCGCTGCCGAGCCCTGTGGCAATGGTGCAGTGGGAAGGGTCTGTCGGAGTGTGACGGTCACCCCACYAGAGCCCCTCTGTGCGGAGGCTGCGGGCCGGCCCCGCCGCTGGGGGAAGGCACAGCTTCTCCTGAGCAGATCCAGCTGCAGTGTGGGGCCCTCTCCCCTCGTTGAAACTGTGCTAAAATCTCTGCTTGAACTCAGAGGCAAATCTTTCATGGGGATACGTGTCCATGCCGGGTTGTGAAAAGGGGAATCGCATGAGGAGCCAAGGGGGCATAGACATCTCTATGCGTAGAGCAATTGCTCAGATATGTTAAAGCCACTCAGGAGCTGGTAAACATCTCTTACTTCTTCTGAACGCTACAGTTAATGTTTTGAAATTGGATAAGAATCGGATAGACTCACAGTTTTTCATGCTTTTATTGGGGATATGTGAGTGCTATCTGTTCAGGAAGTTGAGCTGCAGCAATCAAGTGTATGAGCTTTATCTTTTAGTGCATAGTCATTCCTGGCACATGTATGAAATKATATGAAAGTGTAGTTTTACTGTAGCTGAGATGCTCCGAGGATATTTCTTTTCTTAATGCATATGCAAATTAGGTAGAAGCCATATGAATCATTGTATAACTGTTTAATCATGTCACCAGAGCCTTTTTTGGTGGTTGAAATGATTGCCTGTAAGAGTACTTTCTGTTGTTAGAAATACTAATGAGCAGATAAAAAAATATTTTGATCTTTACAAACGTTTAAAGACTTCTTAAGGGCATTCTGAACCATAAAGCATGCAATCTGTAGCACTGCCTCTTACATAATAACTGCATGGAGAATACTGTTTTTACTTTGGTAGTCATCACCCATCTGCAAAGATGCTTCAAGTCTGGAGAAACAGATAAAAAACTTTTCTTTCCCCCCACACTTAACACTTTTCCCTAGTAAGAGAGTAATTCTGCCTGGTAGATGTGAGATACTCTACTGCAAATGTAGTGAGGTGGGGGCTTTTTAAGGAATCCTGGGAAAATCRTAAAAAATTACATGGGTCCACACTACTGCTTTGGTCCTTGTCTTTGTAAATGAGTGTAGGGCTAGGTAAAAATCTTATGGCAGAACACAGGACAATGATAAATGAAGTTGTGCAATACTTTTTCTTAAGTCATKATTTCTGGTCATAATCAGTTAGCAATGTCCAAGTGATGTGTGGGATCCATAAGATGCTGGAAATCACTACAATTCCCTTTCCCAGCCACAGGCAGGGCTCTAATGGGCTGTAGTCTAGGAGGGTTATAATGAGGTCCCCCTTTTCAGCATGTTTATGTTAAAACCACCCCCTGTTGCCTCATAATTGAACTTYGTGCAAGAGCAGTCTCACACCTAGTGTCTCAAAGACCTCATGTGGTTATTTCTTTGATAGCCTGCTTTCTGTTCTAGCTGACATCTGTTCAGTGGTAGCAGTGGTGACAGGCCAGCTCTCTTACCCTAATGACTAGCAAGGCAGGCACCTCCAGCTCTGCCAGAGGGTACTATGTTTTAGTAGAGTTGTCCAAAAGAAATCCATTTTCTGTAGAGAAACCGGTTACATTCATAAATGCCTTTTTTTATCCGGCATTTAGGCCAAGAAACAGGATCTAACACTGACATGACCAAAATTTGAGAATAGTGTTGGGGTGGTTGGGGTATTTTTTTTYCCTGTTTGGGCTGGCTCTGCTAGAGGTTGCTGCATTTTTTGCAGCATATTTTGCATATTTGAGTGGAAAGCCTAAGCACCTAACACTTTAAACCAATATGAAAAGACTCAGGAGTACTTACCTGCTGCAGCTGTCAGACTTGATTGTTCCTGTTTTCTAAAATGTATCAATACTCTGACTTTTAGCCTTGCAGTGTTTCTAAATCTTTTAATATGGCTTCTCTATTTTGTCTGCCTTTTTTCTTCAATTTGTTGCTAAGTCCATGTGTCTTTTAGGTTTTGATTTTCTGCCAAAAACCTTGGTCACTGTGAGATGCTAAAAGATAGATACTGGGTAAAAATTTTACAGACTGTTTATATGATTTTCATCCATGTAGCTCCTTTTCAGTAACTCCAAGCAAGTTGGCTGTTGCTGTAAGAAAAAAACAAAAAACAAAAACAAAAAAAAAAAAAAAACTTAAAAAAAAAACCCAAAAAAAACCAAACAAAAAATTAAAACTCCAAAACAGTTTATGTTCATTGTTAGCTCAGTGCTGTTTAGCCTTTTTCTTCATCCTTCCAAACTACCATGCTTTGTTATACTTGTGCATACTTGTACTAGTTCTTGCAAAGACCCACACTGCATAACTTGATTTGCAGACTACCCTTATGCCCTTCTGATCTGATTTTGCATTCCAGATGCAAACCCATGACAAATAAACATCTCTCTGTTTCTTTGCCCCAGGTATACTCTCCTCTGGAGACTACATASTCTCCTCCTTTGTTTTGGTTGCTGGGTGCATGCTCCTGTACACATCTCATTTGTTGCTCAGCAGTTTTTGAATGTGCTTGAACCCGTGTTTTGGTTTAGATGCGAAGTGCCTTCTTATTTAGGTGCTACAGCAAAATAGTTTGATTCATATATGACTTTGATTTATTTGAATTGTTATCAGATCTTTTCTGTCTTGAGAAGTAGGAGGGGAATGTTTTCAGTAAGGGAAGTCATGTTCACTCCTTCCTTGGGGAGAGGGTGGAGCTGCCATCAGATCTGCCCTGCTTGCTGAGAGTGCAAGGAAGCTACTCTGATAATACTGACTCAAATGATGTTATTGTTAGAAAAGTAGATTGGTTTGGTCTCCAGYGTTGTGAAGTCTGTCAGAATGAGAGGGTCTCCAGACAGGTCTGGATAGCTGGTGAGATGTTCTTAAAACTTTAACTGTGATTCCAGTGATTCGAGCCCATTTGGTATGCTTAGAGAACCTTTCCAAAAACACAARTGCTTTGCGTACTTTGAGAAGTGTAAGTGTTAGGCCATGGTGAGACTTGATCATGGTCAGGAGTGATTCTGGTAGTGATGGTTGTGTTTTCTGTCATGAGCTTCTAGGGTCTTCCAAGAGGTAAATATCTCAACAGATCTGGACTCCTCACTGCATGTCAGTAATCAGCATTATGCACTGTTCAAGATCAAAGGTGGCCCTACGACAGTTGTCTTATCTTGGTTTATATCTATGTCTTTATGGAAGAGTCAGGAGGCATCCTTTGTTCATGAAAATATCTGACTGGCTTACCTTTGACAAAGGAGTGATCTCCCCAGGTTAAGCCCTGAGACATTCWGCAGTTTGCAGCTGTTAAAGTGGAAATTTATTTGGCAACTAATTTTTAATCTGTTATTTAAGTCCTTGATGRTTCTCAGAGTGCTGGATAGTATTGTTTGATAGCGTCTAAAGTGCAGGTGCATGCTATGTCTGAATTAGCAGTGAAGCTGAAAATATATCTTGGCCACCATAGCTGGAGTCTTGACTATTTGAATCCAGCAGCTTCTTAGAGAATAATTTTCTCTATATGAGATGAATATGCAAGAGCAAAAAAACCCTACTTGTAACCTAAGTCATTATTTGATGCATTCCGTGTTCTGCTTCTGAAGAGCAAGTTAAAAAAGGAAAAGCAATGAGTTATATTTTCATTTATTCATATGTGCAGCTGGATAATTTTGCTCTTTCCTTACTTGATTCTCAAAGTTTCTATGTTTAGCAAGTAGAACAATTGAAGTATGGCATATCTGCATACATATTTGATTTGTACTAAACAGCTTGCATTTTTCTAGTATTTTGTTTGACGTTTTACTGTAAGAATGAGTCTTAAAAGAGTTCTTTGCTTGTTTTGACACTCATTGGTCACTTCTTTTGATCAACACTCTGTAGTGACTGCTCATCTTCCAGCAGAGGTGGACAGTAAGGTCTGGCAGGGATTCACCTTTTTCAACATTTGGCAAGACCTGTATAAGCAGAAAAGATCTTGGACAGAAAGCTTTCATAGTGCTTTCATAAAATAATAATCCTGCAAATATTAACTGATCCTACTTGTACCACAGTCACTTCTTGTGGGGTTGCATCAGGGTCTAGTGTACATAATGAAGAATGATAAACGTTCCTGTGACAAAGTCCAGAATCTAAAGTTTAAATGAAACTTGCTAATCTTAYTGCACGTGGTGCAACTTTACTTTGAAGATTTTGAATTAAATTTGAATACATGGAGATTTAGGCCATAATGGTACATTGTGGGAGACAAGAGGTTTTAGTAATTCATAATTACTCCTCTCCAGTGTTTCAGAGATCTGTCCCTTTTTATCCTATGAAGTGTCTTGCAGCTGTTTGTGCTGTGAAACTTCTCTCTAAACACAACTCAGTAACTTGAGGCAGGACAGAAGCAACTTCTCCATGGGTTGCTCATGTGTGACAAGCTAAATGTAGGTTTCTGAGAAACACTGCAACAGTGAGTGCACAGTGGAGAACCTGCTGTTYATGTAAATGTGTACACATAAATCATGACAAGAGCAGCTTTCTGAGACCATCCTGTTGCCTTGCTGTGGACACTGATCCTTGCTGTTTGCTTTAGTCTGGGAGTGCTTCTTCCTAAGCTATTGCATACTTGAAGGCTTACTTTCTGCATCAAGACAGTCACAAACCAGGCCACTGCTTAGATGTTGGAACAGTGAGATGCATAWAAGTTAATCAGAGTGCCCTGCTCTAGTTGCCTTTGCAGGGTCCCACTGGGGAAACAGTGGTGGGGAGGAAGGAAACAAGTCTCGGATCTGTACCTTCACACCAATGCTGTGTATTGAAATGCAACTTTCAGTTGAGTAGTCTTGACAGAAGTGTGTTACTCATTTGAAAACACTGAATCTTCATCTTTGTGATCTGCAAACTTGTGTCTGCAGGGGACATGAGCTCTTGTCCTGGAGTCCTGCTTTGGGCGGTATCCTCTCAAGTCAATGAGGACTAATTGAAGAAACAGCRAATCCAACCTTTATGAGCTAATTCTTCTGAAGCACACATACCTGCAAACACATGTTGAGGTGTTGTGCATGGACACCAGCGTGCATAGAGAAGGGGATGGCCAAAGGAAGGAACTGTGAATTTCTTAGTTACAACAGGATACAATGGGGTTTTTCATATTCTTTTGTTGTGGTCAAATTCTTCCTGAAGAAAACTAAGCTGCATTTCTCTGTGTGACCACAAGGAAATTTTTTAGATTTCCAGTCTAGTCAAATGTGAGGACTGTGAAATCTTGCAATGCTAATTAAGACAAAAAGGGAATTTCTTTTAAAGTCACATTTAGCCTTAAAGTTATCTGAAGTGCTGCAATTCGTGTGTAGTAGTTTACTGCAAGATGAAGGGATGATTATCATAAATAATGAGTCACCCTAAATAATTACTTACATGATGTTTGCTTTTCTTCTGCTGTCATAAAGTCTCTGTCCATAGCATAGCTAGCTGTAAATTGAGCTTTGTTCTGAATTTCTAGTATTAGTAACAAACAGGGTCTGCAATAGTTTAAGAAGTAAGTGTTCTGGCTTGATGTTTTGTCTAAAGAATGACCATTTCTGTAGGAATGCTTTGAAGCGATTGTTGAGTTTGAAGCCTTGCTAACATGGAGATAATAGATATGACCAGTTCACTGTGCACTAATACACTGCTAGATTCTGATATTTAGCACACTGCTGATAAGATTTACTACTGTTACTTACTGGTTATGAACTAAGTATGGATGGAATTGTAAGTCACCTAAACAAGGTACACAGAGTCTGGAGAGCTGTCTTGCTGGAGATCATTAACAGACTCCCATCCCATCCAGGGGAGAGGAAAAAAATCTTTGGTTGCAGTCTCTGTTTTGTTTTTGCAAGTCCAGTTACTTTTCTAGGTTGAGTCCTGTTTTACTTCAAAATTTATTTGAATAAATTTGAAAACCTTTACCTTGAAGCTTTGTCTTGAAACTGTTCAGTTACAATCGGTGGTTATATAACTGTGGTATTACTTCTGTCACAGATGGAGAAAGCTGAAGCTATTAAGATCAGGCTTCTCACTGCATCCTTATTCATAGACAATGGACTGAACATGTGAAAAATCATGACCAGTAGTTTGAACTCTGAGGAGCTGTTTGGTAACATTTTCTTGTCCTCTTCAGAAAGCTTCCCATTGCCCCAAGAAATGTGTGTCCCTCCTGCCTCGTATGGAAAACTGATCTTTAAAAATTAACAGTTTTAAAATAACCTACTAACTAAATAAAGATAGTCTGCTAGTACACACTTAGTAATTTGAAAGATAACATACTGAACTTGACCATCTTTCCCATACCCTTGTTTCAAAAATCTCCAGAATTTCTTGTAATKAAAGGCTCAAGGAATGGAGTGGTGTCAAATGAAGTTAGTGTGCTGTTCCCAGAGAGTGCATTCAGCATACTCTCCTTCTTTTTCCTTATTAACTGCTGTTGAAAGAGAGCAGTAGAAGATACTGATATAAAACTTGCTGTCTGTTGTGAGTAGAGCCAGAGTTTGAATTCTTGGATTTTTCTGAGTTTTACCATTCTATCTTTTAGTATCCTTCATGGGAGGGTGACAGAAATAGCGAGAAAATACTATTAGGGTGTTAAATATTCTTGTTATATTTAATGTCACGTTATGGCCATATGTAGCTAGGGCACATATTTATGGTCTGCAAGATAACACCTTCAGAACAGGGATTTCTAAAATGCTGCCAGAGTGTTATCAGTCCAAACCATTTTGTGCTAGTTAGTAAAATGGTGTTGTAAAGATTTTTGAAAGTCTTTGTGTGCACCGTGTAAGTGAAATCACTGTGCAAGCTGGTATGTCATATCACTCTCCCAGCAGGCCAGTAATGTCGAGCAAAGTTTACTTCTTTATGCCTTTTCCCATTGGTGATAGTTAGAGATAATAGTTGAGGGAATCAGCACTGGGAAGGAGAAAAAGAAAGGAATCCAGGGGAAAAAAAGATCTTTGAAACAGTATTTAATGGTACTATTTATTGTACTGTTTATTTGTACCTGGCAAATAATTAAGACTGCTCTTCAGAATGCTTTTGAATTTACTTCTGTTATTACTGCTTAAGTGTCTTCTAAATGTCTCTTCTTTAGAAACTGTGCCCCTCCCTGTTTGGCCTGATGAGTGG